AAAAAGGTACATTTACAAGTTGAGAAAACAAAGTAAATCTAAGACGCCTTGCTGTCTTTTTACTTACTAGTTTGAAATAGGAGAGACTTGTTTAGAAAGATGGGGAGAACCTGGATTGATGTCTGGTCCCTCTCAGTCCCAAGAGCGAACCACCCCTTAAAACAAAGAGCACACACACAAACCTTTCCCCCCCCAAGATTTGAAAGTATCTTGTCTCCTTATTGGTCCTTCGGGTCAGGCGTCAGCCAGGTTACCCGAGCCTCTTAACCCTTTACAGGTAAAAGGATTTGGAGTCTCTGTACACAGAGAGCTGTTACCCTTCCCTTCATAGTTATGACACATGCCAAAGCCAGGTCTATACCAGGGCCATGTCTACACTAGAAGTGCTTTGCTGGTATATAGGAATGCCAGTATAAAATAGCAAATGGCTCCTAATGCCGATGCAGCTATACCAACCTACCCATGCTTTGTTCTGGTACAGCAGTTAACCAAGCATTTCAGGTAAAAAGCACAGTGTTGCTGGTATAACTGCACCTACAATAGGGGCTTCTTCTGGCACAGGCTACGCTGGTCACAAATCACACCCCTGACTGACATAGCTATACCAGCAGAAGTCTGTAGTGTAGGTGTAGACCAGGTCTACACTACAAAGTTTTGCTGGCGTAGCTACATTGGTTGACAGCGTGTGGAGGTGATGGGATGGGGGGGGGGGAAATCACACCCCTAACTGACATAGCTCTGCCAGCAAAACCCAGTGAAGATCAGCTTATATCAGCAAATGAACTCCTTTTCATAGAATATCAGGGTTGGAAGGGACCTCAGGAGGTCATCTAGTCCAACCCCCTGCTCAAAGCAGGACCAATCCCCTGACAGATTTTTGCCCCAGATCCCTAAATGGCCTCCTCAAGGATTGAACTCACAATGCTGGGTCTAGCAGGCCAATGCTCAAACCACTGAGCTATCCCTCCCCTTTTGTTAATATAAGCTGCATCTCTGGCGCTAAGGGCTTTGCAGTGTTGGCTAGCCCACAGCCTAGAAAAAGTTTACCGGTTCCAGCTACCCCAACAAACCCTCCTAATATATAGACAGTCTATACCGGCATAGCTTATACTAGTTCCTCTAAACAAAAGAAGCTATGCTAGCAAAAGGACCCCCTTCCCCTGCCATCCATAATTGCATCTACACTAGGGTTTTTGCTGGTATAAAAATGTCACCAAAAATAAATCACCCTCTAATCAACATTACTATACTGGCAAAAGTTCCTAGTGTAGATCCGGCCTGTCATTTGGGGCTTTGAAAATCTGCCCCCTTTACTTATCGATTTGCTTACCTTTCAAACAGGAAGAACAAACTATCCTATCAGTTGTATCCAAGATGATTTGCTTATTTTGTAAGTTGTAAATGCACTAGTGGGAAGAGGCTTTGTAAATCTGGATACCCAATAAAGTGGGTGTACTTGCAGAACGGTTTCTCATAGGGCTAGTGTGAGGCTGCTTTGTAAAGAGCTCTGAGCACCTCATATAAAAAGGAGCAAATTGTCTTTGCTTCTCTATTCACATATCACAAATTCTCACTGAATTCCAATATATTTATTGTTTCCACCAATGAAGCTTTAAAGTTTCCTTTGCGTTTTCATCACAGAGAATGAACGCCTCATGAAGAAGTTTCCCTCGCTTTCTCCCCCCCCCCCCCCGTTTCATTTATGGATACTTACAGGACGATGACGGTGAGGATGAAGAAGAAATGCACACTTCCAATTAAGTTACGATAAATCCACACCACCCATTTTGAGCTGGAATAGCTGTCCAATACGTGTATCCACCCAGAAACGGCATGAATGACGGAGGTCAAGCCTTGGAACGGACCACACTGTTTAGAAGGCGTCAGCCTGGAAAAACAAGACAAAGTATATTTTTTAAAAAGTGCTAGTTCATTTCCTCTGGGCCTCTGTATCCTCACCCTTGGGTTAGTTACACCCGTTGCCACAGAATACTAGGTCTTCTTGGGAGACTGCATACAATTCAACTCACTGAGGTGTAACTGCCTGAGCAATTCTTAACTGACAGAGGGCTTGCTCCATGTCTGTGTTTAAGTTTTTACACTGATGAGTCCCTGGCCGATAGCATGGGCCCAGTTGACTATCTGAGCAGACACATAAGCAGGAGCGCTGGCAGACTTTTTGGCGCCCTAGGCGGCGGAAGGCCCTGCTCCCAAAATGGCGCCCCCGACAGAGGCGGCAGAAGGTCCCGCACCCGAAATACCGACGACGACCGTGGCGGCCGGATGTTCGGCCGCCGCAGTCACCACCCCCCAAATGCCAGTGCCCTAGGCGACCGCCTAGGTCGCCTAATGGGTTGCGCCGACTCTGGACACAAGACCCTCTCACAGTAGAGCAGTGGGCAGCACTGCCTTTCAGGTGCCAATCTCTAGCTAGTTATAACAAGTTAATTGCCATAGTAGAGGCTACATAGATTTTGCAGTAAACTTATGAATGTAAAAAAACATTGCTTTTATAGATGCATCATGCATGCTTAAAAACCACAACACCACCACCTTGTTTTTCCGCCCCATTTTTGTAGAAGAATATTCAGATAAGATTTTTGGTAAAAACAGGATGTGACTCAGCCCCTAGCAAAAGCAATAATTTTCAGACTAAAAATAAAAAGGTCTTAGCATTCATGAGGTAGGTTAATAAAGGTTTCTGTTTGTGATAAGGTGGAAGGTTTGGTTTGCAGAGACTGGAATGGAGCCAAGCCACGCAAATCTGAATTGAGTGAAACCTCCCAGTGTTTATGAAGATCTACTAGGAAACATCCCACTTGAACCCTGATTTCTGGGCCTGCCCTTGATCTTAAGTCACTTTTTGGTAGCTAGCAAGCGAGGCTGCTGTATTGGGTGCAAGAGAGAAGAGGAAATGGGTTTGTCACAGAAACTTCTGAGAGAAAGAGAGGAGGGAGAGCCAGACTGTCACAGCAAATGTTTCATTTAATAACCAAACTCAAGCCGCCAAACAGAGGTTTGCAACTCATCTGATTTTTCTTATAAGAGTTTTCTGCCTCCATACATCTTGCATTGTTTCTTGGGCCGCCTTTTGTTCCTCCATGTGAGAGAGCAGAAGTGAATGTAAGGAAAATGGACAAACAGGAATAGCAGCTTCTATCTATCATACCTACATGGCTCCCATTACTATAGTATCCGAGCGCCTCACACAGTCTTTAGTGCATTTATCCTCACACTCTGCTGTGAAGCAGGGAAATTCTACTCTCTCTCATTTTACAGATGGGGGACCTGAGGCAAAGAGACACCATGTGACTTGCCTGAAATCACACAGGAAGTCTGTGGCAGAGGAAAGAAATGAACCTGGGTTACCCATGTCACAGGCCAGTACCACCCTTCCTCTGCTTCCTTCTCATCCCTCAGATCTTTGAGGGGACCCGCACAGTCTCAATTCCACTCTCTTTCAATAGTTGAGCACAGCTTTCAAGAGATTAACTTAAAGTCTATGAGTTTGCAATAGTGTTCCTTAGGCTTGGTCTACACTTACCCCCCAATTCGAACTAAGGTACGCAACTTCAGCTACGTGAATAACGTAGCTGAAGTTCGAAGTACCTTAGTTCGAACTTACCTCGGTCCACACGCGGCGGGCAGGCTCCCCCGTTGACGCCGCGGTACTCCTCTCGTATAGCTGGAGTACCGCAGTCGACGGCGATCACTTCCTGGTTCGACTTATCGCATCCAGACAAGACGTGATAAGTCGAACCCAGAACTTCGATTCCCAGCCGCCGAACTAGCGGCTGGGTGTAGACAAGCCCTTAGAGTCCTGAACAGTTTATGAGCAACACTGGAAACCTTTCAGTGGAAGACAATGCAGATTTCTCTTTAGTATGTATTGAAATATCTCCACCCTGTTTGGTTTCTGATTAAGGTGTAATTCAGTTTAGAGATAGTGAAGACTGAATGCTGATGCTCTTTCCTACCTCCAGATAGTGACCGCCATTACTGACAGGACTCCAGTAAAGGAAGGGAAAAACAGCAGAAAAATGAAGAGCGTTGTCATCTGAGAAGCTCTCCAGACTTTGCGAGGTGGTTGACAATTCCTCATCAGACTGACCTTTAAAAAAAGATGCACACACACACACAGATGGAGTTGTGTTACATGCCACTTAAATAACTGTGTTTCACTCAATCCAGTTGAAATTGCTAGCAAATTCATAGGAATAGCATTCATCAACAGTTTCCAAACAGCACTTCCAGCAACAAACATACTACATCATTATAAAGTACAGCCTTTCAAATAGTGAGAGGCAAAACTGGATTCTGTTGGTCAGGATTTTGAAAACGAGATTAAGGGGCATTTCACCTGAACCCCAAAGTTCAAGGGAGTTTTGATCAATGGTACAATTCTACTTTCAAGACCACAAAACATTTAATATTTGTTGAGTTTGAGAAGAACTCAGCAGAAGTCAACTTCTCCTATATGCTATGGCAGTAGACTCAGGCCTGGTCTATACTTACAATTAAGATCAATTTAGCTACATTGCTCAGGGGTGTGAAAAAATTCATACCCCTGAGCACCATAGTTAAGCTAACCTCGCCCACTGGTATAGATGTGGCTAGGTCAATGGAACAGTTCTTCCATTGATCTCGCTACTACCGCTTGGGGAGGTGGAATAGCTACAAATCAACAGAAAAACCCCTTCTGTCAATGTAGGATACATTACAGCATCACAGCTGCAGCAGTAGCACTCATAGTGTAGACACAGTCTAAGTGTTCAATTATTGAAAATAGTACAGTCATGCATACAACAATGGGGGGACTTCTGGTTTTGGCCCATGTGTGTGTGTGTGTGTGTGTGTCACACCCACCCACCCACGCTTTCATTTCACTACTTCATTCTCTGCACCTGACAAATTTTGCCCTTAACCTCTCTTTTTGCCCCCTGAAGAACTTTTTCTGTAGAGGCAGGACACAGACACAGTATCATTCAAGGCTCCTGACAGTAATGATCCATGTTTCAAGAAGCTGAAGCTTCCACCTTGCTCCTGAAAACTCAGGTAAGAATGTGCTCTTGCTGAGATGTTGGACTAGTTAGGGTTCATGGTTCTTGAAGAAGAGAAAATATAAAGCTCCTTACCTTTTTTACATAAAATATTATAAAAAATGATATAATCTGCATGGCTGGCATTAAAGGTGCGAAGAAGATGCCAATCCTAAAAGAAAAAAAAAATGTAGGGGAGAAAGAGTCCAAAAACATGAAAACTCAGTCTTTGGTTTTTACTGCATGGTATGAAAATAGAATATATCAGACTATATTTGGATAAAGTTATTATAATATTAATATTGTTAAATGTAACAATAAGTAAAACTTGTTATAGGTAAATTAACCTTTTAAAAATTATACTTAAAAATAAAGCAAAACATTTGCAATATTCTTTTAGAATCTGGAAAACAATTTCCTTCCTTATTCTGTCGCTCATCGGACAGTCTCCTTCCCAACTTGTTGCTAACACCATTTGATATTAGAAAAGCTTTGATAGTGATGCTACTTCAGTAGGGAAGTAAGACATAATATCAAAGACCCAGGATGCTCCTTCCTACAACCTCCTTCCACCCCCTAGTTTTCAGTTGTGGCCAGAAAGAAGACTACTTTGTGTAGGTCCTGCATAAAATCACTGTTTTACTGAATTGAGTTTTACTTCAATTCTGCAGCAGTGGTGCTGGAACATTTTTAGTAGTGGGGGTGCTGAAAGCCAGCCCCCTTACCTCTTCCCTCTGCCTCCCTCACTGAGGCTGGGAGTAGAGCTGTGTCTCGGGGGGGGGGGGGGGCAGGGTAAGGGGGCCGAGGCCACAGCTGGGGGCAGGCGTGGGCCCAGGAGTGGAGCCCCGGGCAGGGGCCAGCAGTCAGGACCCCACGTGCAGGGCCAAGAGCAGAGCCCCAGCTGTGGGGATAGGC